GCGCCCTGCCCTGCGCCAGCGCCCTGCCCTGCGCCAGCGCCCTGCCCAGTGCCAGCGCCCTGCCCTACGCCAGCGCCCTGCCCTGCGCCAGCGCCCTGCCCTGCGCCAGCGCCCTGCCCTGCGCGCGCTGGCACCCTGCCCTGCGCCAGCGCCCTGCCCTACGCCCGCGCCCTGCCCTGCGCCAGCGCCCTGCCTTGCGCCTGCACCCTGCCCTGCGCCCTGCCCTACGCCCGTGCTGCAGCCCGCGCGTCGCACCCTAAGGCAGCCCACGAGTCGCGCGCTGCTGCCTCGTGCTTCGCGCTGTCACAATAGATTTATATCTATTTAGTATAATCTGCCTGTAGTGTAGCTGTTGTGTAATTTCCTTGTATGGTGGTGCACCTCTTTCATCTTTGTTAGGTTGCTATATGTACTCGTGTGCTATAGTGAACCTCCAACCATTTTTAATTCTCCTTGGCACAAACTACTCGACACCCGTTTGGCCTAGGCTACTAAGCCTAGGCCCTTAGTTAAACCCATACTCTAGTTAAGATCGTATCGTAACATGGTATCGAGCTACTATGATCCAACTCCTAGGTGAATGGGCCCACCACCAGCTGTCGATATGACGCGCCCCATCGATCAGGTCGTTGCGCAGCCCGTTACGTGCATCGCTGGCCCGTCGCTCGCCCGTCGCCCCACCGGCTCGAGGTCCCGCTGCTGCTGCGCTAGCGACGACGACCTGCGCGAGGGCGCTCGTCGCGCCCCACCGTTACGGCCCCCCCAGTTCACCTGCGGACCCGCGAGCAAGAGAGACAGCGGATCCGTGGACCCGCCTTCAGCGAGCGAGCCAGCGGACCCGCGAACCCGCCTTCAGCAAGCCCGTCGACGGACCCGCCGACGGGCTCGTCACAGGGCCCGCCGACGGACCCGCCGTCGGAGCCGCCAACGAGAGCGCCAGCAAGCCCGCCTGCGACCCGCCACCCGCACCCGCGCGACCCGTTCCTGCCTCGCTTGCATCTGCTGCGCCAGCTACTGCCGTTTCGTCCCGTTCCCGCCGCCCCACCCGGAACCCGATGCCCCACCTGTACCCGGCCGCCTGCCCGTCTCCCCCCCTATCGCAACTGTTCGCGTGTGCAGCGGCGGTCGCTTTGGGTGGGAGAGGGAGGACGGGAAGGGATTGGCACTCCCATGTAGGAATCTGCTTTTCATGGGAGTGTGGATGCAAAGAGCAGAGTAAACTAGAAGCCAAAGCTGACTTTATGATAGGCCGTAGTGCAAGCATATGAACAGGCATAATCGTTGTTGTTGACTCAGGGCCTTGATCATGTAGAGTGACAGATGCCAAGCACTAAAAAGAATGGCAAGCTGGGGGGGGACTGACTGACAGCAACAACAATGGTGTCGGAATGAGCACGTGGTGCACATGTGATCTTAGAGGGTCACGTGGCATGTGGTGGTGCACATGTGATGTGGGTGAGTCACACAGCATGTGATGCGCATGTGAAGAGGGTGGGACACAACTCATGGCATGTGGTGCGCATGTAATGTGGGTGGGTCACATAGCATGTGGTGCACGTGCAAAGTAAGTGGGACACAACACACGGCACGTGGTGCGCATGTCATGTGGGTGGGTCACACGGCATGTGGTGCATTCCATATTTCAATTCACGACACGTAGCAGCACTCACAAGTGAGCAAGACTTGGGAGGTTGCCAAGAAAGTCAGGAATGGTGCCTGTGAAGCTGTTGTACTGACGGAACCGAGGGACAGAAGCAGATGAACAGAAGTGTGGTCATGACAGCGCAGATAGAGAGAAGCAAACGGATCCCACTGCATGCCATTGCATCTTATCACGTCACATCCGATCATCAGATCATGTGGTGCAGGTCACATTTCATGACATTGGATCAGATCATCACATAACATCACATCACATCACATAGGGATGAGCACGAGGCGAACACGAACGTGTTCGCGTTCGCCGCGGCTCGAACAGTGCCGTTCGGCGAACTGAAAACCGTTCGGTTCGCCGAACAGGTTTGGCCAGAAGTGGTGTTCGAAGTTCGCCTTGGAAGGCGAACATCTCGAACACATTGGCGAACACGAACGTGTTGGGCAGGAACACGTTCGTGTTCGCCCCAGAGGGCTTAGCATTACAAAACACATGATTTTAGGCGGGCAGGGGAACTGCGGGAAACTGGGGGAAAATATATAGGTTGGATCTGGCTTATGCGAGATCAAGTTAGGGATCCATATATTTTTATACCCTGCTCGCCTCCTGGATTTCCCCCCCACGTAAGGCAAAATGCTCTCCCCCCTCTTGATCTACGAAATTTGCGATTGCTCGCCAACCCCCCACAACACCCAACTCTTGAAATATGCGAACTCTATTGCTCTCAAACCCCAACTTATGCAATTCGCGAATGCTTTCCCCAACCCCAGAAGTACGAAATTTGCGAATGCTTACCCCCAACCCAACCCCCAACTAACGAGATTCTGCTAGATCCGTCTAATCCTTTCCCGATAACCTAGATCTCACCTACCCAAGTCTAGTCAGACTAACCTAAGGTAACTATTTAATTACGTCCTAATGAGGTGGTAATGGCGTAACGTAAAGCGTGGTAAAAGTGACTGCTGCTGAATAGCGCGACTAAGTTCGAGATCAAATTTGATGCCAAACAGAATGTCCCGCAACCTAAATTGTAGATCGCGGGACAGTCACGACGAACACATTCGTGTTCGTTTTTGCTCCGAAACGAACACGAACGCGTTCGTGTTTGACGCGGCTCGGCAGCAGTAGCGGGGCGAACGGCGAACGTGTTTGGGCGAACACCGAACACGTTCGCCACGAACATTTTTAGCAAAAAAAAAAAAGTTCGAGGCGAACCGAACAGGTGTTTGTATCCCTGCTCATGCCTAACATCACATCACATCACATCTCATCAATTCGCATCGCATCACATCGCACATCCCATCCCATCCCATCCAATCCCATCCCATCCCATCCCATCCCATCACATCCCATCACATCACATCACATCACAGGCTACAGTAACTTGGAATGCTCCGATCCAGCCCATACAAGCACAGCATAGGAAAACATGAAATTCCAGTATGATGTGTGAGGGAGAGATAACACAAAAAAACATCTGAAACATACAGTAGAGTGGGCCTACAATTTGCTGCAAAACGTTAGAGCTCATATAATCGAAAAACTCACAAGTAGGTCAAAGTTATAAGGCTGGAGAACGTTGCTGGTGTGGATCCATTCAGCTGGTTATTAAGCAAGTGTTCTCAGAAATTTGGTGTAAAAACAAAGGGAGTAATGGGCAGACAGGGGTTTGTGAGTACGAGCATACATTCTCTACTATCTACACTATAGCAACAGTAACAGGCGTGAGCTAAGAAGCTAGGAGGCACTCAGTCGGGGCCACATGCTGGACTAAGCAACGATACTTAACCGAGCATAACACTTAGTGCATGTCGGGCTACAGGCGTAGTCTAGTGAACATTCAGATAGAACGATGTCCGAACGAAACTAGTAGTACTTGCATCATCTATGGTACATACATAGGAGTACAAAGGAAATGCATATTCAGACTTCTGAGTCGACTCAAAAGTCTGAACGAGCGTTTACTTGCATCATCTATAGTACATTGAAGTCAAGCCCATCAACAAGACCAAAGCCACCCCTGCCGTATTACAAGCATGCACCTCACGTGTCAACGAAATGCGGAACAGCATTAAAGCTCGCGTCTCATATTTACAAGCATTTAACACTTGGTTGATTACGCGCGTCCGTGATTGGTTTCGACAGAAAGCTACCCCAGCTCTTCACAGATTTTTGTGGTTCGCCAACCAGTCACGGAGGCCAACCAGGTGTTCAATCCAACCAAGTGTAAAACGGAGAAAATATGAGACACCCTCTTCAACATATGATTAGAACTGAGGAACACGACTCGCACATGTTAATCGAACAAGGTACAGCACCACAGAAATAACACACTTTCAAGGCTACTAACAGATTCGTCTTCTTTTGTTAACCGAACGAGGAACAGCACTAACAATCTGTCAAGGCTCTTGAGATTGTTGAGGGATGCAGGGAATGTGCCACTTAAGCTGTTGTAAGCCAGTTGCCTGATGAAGGCAAATGAACAGAGAGGGCATGCATACAGAGAAAATGAACCCATGAGAAAATTACTCATGGGTCGACCCTGACCCTCATTTTTCTCATGGGTCATCAGCTCAAGATCAACCAGCCGGCATGAGTGGGTGCATACAGGAAGGTATGAACAACCTAGAGAAGCCAGCGAGCCATGAGTCTGGAATCAGCCTGCTGGTCGAAAGTAAGAAAAAGCAATCCCTGCCTTGCTTGCAAGCCATGCACCAAGTGGCAAGCCATGCACCAAGTGACAAGCCATGCACCAAGTGACAACCAATGCACCAAGTGACAATCACACCTCCTACTTCCTCCGTCCTTTCCTTCCCTCCCTTCCCCCGGCTCGTCCTCTTTGCCTGCGTCCCTCAGCCAGTACCTAGGCACATGGTCCTCTCAGCTCAGCTCAGGCTGGCCCAGGTCGGCTCAGGTCGGGTCAGGACGGGTCAGTTTTGGTCAGGTTGGGTCAGGTCGGGTCAGGTTAGGTCAGGTTGGGTCAGGTCGGCTCATATCAGCTCAGGTCGGGTCAGGCTGGTTCAGGTTGGCTCAGGTTGGCTTAGGTCGGGTCAGGTTGGTTCAGGTTGGTTCAGGTCGGGTCAGGTTGGTTCAGGTTGGTTCAGGTCGGGTCAGGTTGGTTGAGGTCGGCTCAGGTTGGGTCGGGCCATGCAATGGACAAGCCTCTACTAGCTCAAGACGTGCGGCGTGCCGGCTTGTCTCGGCCACGGCCCTTTTACTCTGAGAAAAAAACCTGCTTCAATGTTTCAAAGGTAAGCGAATTAGAGTGTTAGGATAGCAGAGAATGTGAGTGCGGATCACAATGTAAGCATCGTCCGACACGTGTCTGTCTGGTCAAGAGCCTCACACTTTGGACAGATTACGGAGGTTGCCAATAGTAGCTGGAATAGGGCCAGTCAGGCGAGTGTTCCATAGAAATCTGCATTTGCGAAAGGAAGGACGGTTGGAAGGAGAGGTGAGATTGAAGGGCCACGTAACAAAGGAGCGTTTCGGAATTCAGCGGTGTGAGACTTGGAACGAAACGACATGGCTAACAATCTCGAAAAGGTAACATGGTCATTTTTTGTGGCGCCTCAAAACCAGGCACGCACACCCCAGGTGACAGATTCCGGGTCCAAAAGGCACAGCACTCACACAAGGTGTGAGCGGCTTACTCACATGCCCAGCCCACCCAAGGAGGAGCAGAGCGGCACTCACAAGTTGGTAAGGCTTTGCAGGTTGCTGATGGAAGCCGGGATTGAGCCGTTTAGGTTCTCGTCAATGATACTTCTGATGGGCGGAACATTGAATTGCAGGAAAGGGCAGTCGCATTAGCAATGGGGGGAAGTTATGCTCCATGCATAGCAAGGACCATCGAGGGCCGTGAGGGCCCATGGGGGTGCTTGGCGATCCGTGGGGGTTAATGAGGGTCCATGGGGGCCAGGAGGGTCCATGGGGGTGCATGACGGTGCATAGGTTTGCATGGGGTTGTTTGGGGGTGCTTGGGGGTGAAAAGGGGTGCATGAGGGTCCATGGGGGTGCATGGGGTGCATAATGTGGGTGCATGGGGTGGGTGCATGGGGGTCGTCTACTCACATCTGCGTTATCATGCCCTGGGAATCACACATGACATTGCTCGCCTTGTCGCAGTCCCCACCAACCACCCAGCCGTCAAACGTTGTGCTCCACGCCTTCTGACAGTCCAGCAGGACTTGCGCTGGCGGCAGGAAGAGAGGGGGGGGGATGAGTGGCAGGGAGGAGAGAAGGGCAGCCATTGGAGGAGAGGAGGGCAGAAAAGTGAACAGAGAGGACTGAAATGGTGCTCTCTGTTGAATGCCCCTCATATCTCATTGAATGCCCCTCATATCTCATCAGTATCCCTTCTCTCATCACACGCTCTCCTCCCATCATATGCCTTCCACCTCTCTCATCACATTCCCTCCCTCCCACCCACCTCATCACATCCCCCACCTCATCGCTTGCTCTTCCACTTCCACCCAGTGTACGGGAAGGGTGATAGAAGAGCGAGTAGGGCACAGGGGTCAGTGAACAGAGAATGTAACGCCTGCTGGCTAGTAGTGTTTGAAGGGCATCCACTGCGCGTCAAAAACACCCTAGATTTGTACCAGACTCTGGGTTCATATCTCGGCTGGTCCATATTTTCTGCATGTAGCGAACCCGTAACGCGCGCGGGGCTTACATGTAAGGGCGTGTAAATTTGTAACGACCAAACAAATTTTCCGCCCTTTGCGCATTTCAGGCGATCGCGCAAAGGTGCAACGCGTAAGCGATTCCCGCCACAAATGTTGCCAGCACGTGGGGCATCCGCCACAAACAATCCCGGTAATTGAAAAACGAAAGCTTTGATTCCTTCTACTGCAATCTAACGGGGTGTGGAATACAGGGGGATCGGAAGCCTAGACTAGGCTGTTTAACAAAGCAGCGAGTTTAGGCAAACACAAAGATTTTCCCCCTCTCTGAGGATACAAGTCTACGTAGGTCCCAAAAAGCAGTCGTCCAAATTCCTTGCAAAAATACCATTGCAATTTGATCAAACCGAGGCAACTACTATGTGGGCGTAACCCTAAATACTTCGCAATCGCCACAACCGTTCAAATGGTCGACCATTTCGTTTGGTCATTACAAATTTACACGCCCTAAGGGTTGAGTGCCTCCGCTGCGCCTCAGATATCATTTTGAATTTGTGGGTTCTGAACCCTCATAAGGCTCTGAGACCAATATGACACCTCGCTACCCACTGGGTCAAAACGAGGGTTACAGAACCGGAATGTGGTTTGTTAGGGTGGTTCGCCGCTGCCCCAGTGTATACCAACCTACGCGCTTGACCTAGGGACGGTAGAACAACACTAGGAACGGTGGGAAACCACGACCTAATGTGGAGAACCTACAGCTAGAACAGTGGGCTGCATGCATGCTAAGGAGCTAAGGAAGGAAGGCGTGAAGAAAGCGAGAAGAAACGGAATGAAGAAAGACTAGGGTTCAGCAAATGTCGAGAAGACATTTGCCGTAGCCTAGGATGTCCAACCGCAACCGAACCGCCACGTTCGATGCGAATGTGACATCAGGCTTTTGGTTCCGGTTACGCGTGCGACTCGGGCTGAAACGCGGATGAAGCAGCCCGAGATTATTAAAGGTTATTTCAGCACGTGCCGCGATACATTCAATGACTCAATGGCATGATGTGTAATGGCATCGCGGGGCGGCACGCACCCTGTGACTTGACGAGAGCCACGTATTCGACGCGTGAGACCGCGTGACACGTCAGCAGCAGCGCGCCAATCAGAAGAGCTGCTGCGAGCTTCATCACGCCACGACGATCGCGGCAAGCCGCAGGTCCCTGGTAGTTCTACTATCAAATAATTTCGAGTCGCGTCCAATAAAAACGAAATGATATGGGGAGGAAAAACGTGCTGAAACTGTTAGGGATGGTTCGACGAACCACGAAACCTACGGCGAAATGCGGAATGACGGCGGAATGGAGCGCGTGGGAGATTCTAGAGTGATTTTGGTGGAAATTGGCCTACGGCGGACATTGGAAGCTAAGGCGTGAGAAGCGAGAGAGAAATCGAGAAGAAATGAGCTAGGAGGAAGAGAGAAGTATCGAGAATGAGATCGACGGGGGAAAATGTGGTTCGAGACCAAGGCGTGCTCGAGAAATTTCCAGATTCGGGCTCAAGGAGTGTTCGGTAAATTCGGTTCCGTTGTGTGTGCGACTCGGAGTGAAACGAGGCGCGCGCGAGATTGCTTGGGAAACAAGTTACGTTACGAAGCACATTTTGTACCTTGGTTGACTATAAAACTGCTTGTACTCATTCTGGAAATACAACATTGATCAGTTGGTAATTCTGAAAATTGCTGGAAGTGTGTATTGACAACTTCAAGCAGAGCTGCACATATCACTGGAATAGGGTGATCGTGGAGAACATGATAGGTGATAGCAAGTAGACTATTGCCGACTAAGGTGTTTACGATCCTAAGAACTGGTATCAGAGCTTGGCGAACGGGCATGTCGATCGCGGTGAATTCACTTGGTGCGCTAAGTGAAATTAGTGGAGAAGAGGAGTCGTTCACGCCTACGCCATGGGAGACGAGGCGAGTTCGGGTTCCAGTGTGAGTCTTGGAGACCCGCAGTTGAAGGCTCTTCTTGAGGCCCTTGCGAGTGGCCGATTGGTGTCGAAACCGATGATCGGGCTCAGTGAAGCTCAGCGCTTCAACGGAAGCAACTACAACGTGTGGCGAAAGAAGTTCATTCGAAGGGCAGAGGAGGTGGACCTCGTGCCGTGCTACCGTCCCGACGAGGAGACAATGGAGGGAGTTGCGCCTTCCACGGCGGATACGAAGGAGAAAATAGCGACGTTCAAAAAGCAAAGTAAGCAAGCTTTCTTTCAGCTTTGTCACTCAGTTGCCGATGGAATCGCGGTGGATTTGGACCAGTTTGCAGGGGAGCTGAACTCTGCACAACGAGCGTGGGAGTACCTGGAGTCCACGTACATGGGTACGAACGATGTCAACAAGAAGGCGATGAGGAAGCAACTGCTGATGGTGAGCATGGAGAAAGGCGAGAAAATCATCACCTACATCAACAGGGCAAAAAGCTACAACGGCGGTTTGCGGGTGATGGGAGCCGCGGAGATGGAGCATGAGATGATTGACAACATCATCCAAGGTCTTCCTAAGGAGTGGGAATCCGACATCAGTATGTTTACATACCAACCGCCGAAGAGTTTGGCGAAGCTGCAGGAGATTCTACAGTCGCTGGAGACGGTCAAAGAGATAAGGAAGAAGAAAGCAGCAGCAGCAGTTACAGAATTCGACGAGGAAAGGCCGGCTTTGGTGAATGCAACGAAGGCGTTTGGAGCGTGCTACCAATGTGGAAAGCGCGGTCATAAGGCGATAAACTGCTACGAAAATCCGCGAAGCAGAAACCACAAGGGCAAAGCGATGGAGAACGATAAAGGAGAAAATGAGGGAGCGGAGTGGCAGCAGAAACGAGGTTTTGGCGGCAGGTGCGACTATGACATCGTGCCGTAGAGTGCTACTCCAATCCGAATAGCAGGAGCTACAAGGGTCCGTCGCAGCAGAGGATTGTGGCGGGTAAGGCGAATGTAGCGGAAGCCGAAAAGGAGGATGTGATTTTAGGAGGAGCGCATCTTGCGAACGTGGTGCGTTTACCGAAGGATGTTCGTCAGACGGACGAACGTGAGAAGACGGCATGGTTCATGGACAACGGATGCACGCGTCACATGACGTTCAGGTCAGATTGGATGGAGAATGTGAGGGAGTTGAGTGAGGATTATATACTGCAAGGAAACAGTGGAAAGTTACCAGTGACACGAGGGGTTGACGTGGTGCTGCGGAGTCCGTACGGAGTAGTAAAACTGGAGAGTGTGTTGCTAATTGAGGATTTGAAGGTGAATCTTGTCAGTCACTCACAGCTTGATGACTTGGGGTGCAAGATATTTTATGACAGAGGCGAGGTTACAGTGTTTGGTCATGAGTGGGAGAAGTATGCGGATGGTTATTTTAGTGACTGGGTTCTATGAGATGAAATTGGTGGGGATGAACAAAAAGGATGAGATCTATGAGGATCATGAGCCTACTGAGGTTAATGAGAGTGAGGACTCGAAGGATACGGCAGCAAGTGTTGAGGTAGTAGTGAAACAGGATGAGGATATAGTCACCATGGAGGCAGCAACAGTAAATGGTGGTGATGGAGAATGTGTCAACACTTTTGCAGCAGTGATCGTGGTTGAAGATAAAGCAGTAAATGCGAAGTGTGTGGGAGTTGAAGCTGTGAAAGGGGGCATCATGGTAAAAGGATCAACGGCAAATGCAGCTGCAAAGGGGTGAGTGCTTACGAAAGAGGAACACGTTGAGGGGTACAAGACCCGAGAGGTGTCGGGTGACAAGATGCCAAGGAGAAGCGAGAGGCTGAAGAAAATCTCTCAGATTTTGGATGTAAAGGCACTCAACTTCAAGACACATAAGCAGAGGTTCAAGGTGAAGGAGCTGCAGGGGAGCGTGAAGCCAACTTAGACCCTATGAATGACAAGAAGTGAGAATGGAATGAATGCACTATGAAACAGTTGGGTACAAGTACTAACCCTAATTGGGTTGTACCCCTTATGGGCTACCCCACTACAGCCTACACAAATGTATAAGCTATAATATTCTGACACACCCTCATAGGCAAATCGGGGGAGAACAAGTGGTCACAAGACCAGTCAAGCAAAGCAAAGCAAAGCAAAGCAAGCTCACGGTGGTTCACAAAGTCACCACACAGTCCAAGCACAAGAGTAAGGCCACAAGGCCAGTTCACATGCAAGGTCATATATATAAAGGTAAAACAAGCAAGGGCAGGTATAGAAAGAAGACAGTACAAACAAGATCAAAAAGTGAGCAAGTGAGGCCAGGTAGGCACAAGACCTAGCACAGTACAGAAGCGCTGATGATCACAAGGCGGAAGGGCCTTGGTGAAGATATCAGCAGTGTTGGCCTCAGAGGCCACGTAGGTGAGGCGGAGCTGACCACGCTGCTGCAGCTCACGAGACAGGAAGTAGCGGAGAGCAATGTGCTTCGTTCTGTGCTCCAGTCTGTGCTCCCGACACAAGGCCAGCATGGCCTTGTTGTCTACGTACAGAACTGGAGGAGAACGAGGCGGCTCTCCTAGGTCAGTCAGCAAGTAGGTGAGCCAGCGTAGCTCCTGTGCAGCCATGGCCCCCGCGTAGATCTCAGCCTCACAACTGGAGCCGAGAACAGAGGACGAGCGGGTAGACCGCCACGAAACAGAGCCAGAGCCAAGGCTGAAGGTGTAACCCTGTGACGACCGCTGCGTAGCCTGGTCGACAACCCAAGAAGCGTCAGCGTGACCTCTGAGGACTACTCGACGTCGCCCTCCAAGCACTAGCCCCATGCCCGACGTACTGCACACGTAGCGCAACACCCTCTTCGCTACAGCCATGTGCTCTGGTCGGTGTCTCCCAGGAGCAACATAGCGTGCCAAGATGCTAAGAGGGTATGCAAGGTCAGGTCGTGTGCAGGTCATCAGGTACATGAGGCAGCCAACAAGCTCTGGGTACAGGCCACTTGACTCTACGGACTCATCCGAAGGCAGAGCTGAGAGCGAGTGGCGAGTAGACAGAGGAGTGGCCTGAGGCGAGGAGTACGTGAAGCCGAAGCGCTGAAGGACCTGCTGCACCATGTGTGACTGAGTCAGAGTAATGGTGCGCTGTGCTCTGTCCCGGGTGATCTGCAAGCCAAGGTAGCTGCGTAGTTCACCCAGGTCTGTGCACGTATGTCTCTTCTGCAGCTCGGACTTCACGTGGGCGAGTCCAGCAGTGTCAGCAGTGGCAAAGACCAGGTCGTCGACGTACACGAGGATGTAGAACGGCGGCAAAGAGGTGTCGGTGCGTAGAAACAGCGACGGGTCGGCTGTAGAAGGAGCAAACCCAAGAGCCGCAAGTGTAGTCCTCAGTGTGTCGTGCCACTCACGGGGCGCCTGGCGGAGATCGTAGACTGGCCGTCGGAGACTCCACTGGGTGCCAGGAGGAAACGACCCAGTGAAGCCAGGAGGGCGGCGCAGCCAGATCTCCTCGTGCAGGCTGCCCTGCAGGAAAGCAGTGCTGAAGTCAAGAGAGTGAAGCTCGTAGTCGCGCTGAGCGGCTATGTGCAGTAGCACCTGAAGAGTGGTCATCTTCGGGGTGGGAGAGAAGGTCTGAAAGTAGTCAACTCCCTGCCGCTGACCGAAGCCTTGAACCACGTAACGCGCCTTGAAGACAGGCGGAGAGCCCGGCGGCCGCTTCACCCTGAAGATCCACATCCCACTGACGATGTTCGCCCCAGGTAGGGGAACCTCGTTGACGTAGGTGCCTGTGGACTTCCAGGAAGCCATCTCTGCGTCCATGGCCGACTGCCACTGAGAGGAGTAGGGACCCTCGATCGCCTCAGTGTACGATCGAGGAGTCGGGATGTCTGGTGCATCCGGGTCTCCCTCAGGGGCAATCAGCGTGGACACGAGATGGGGCAAAGCAGCCGCAAAGCACTGGAACTCCTCCTGCCTGTCCTCAAGGACGTCCGTGCTAAGAGCACACTCACCCCCGACGGACGGAGGACAGACAGACTCAGACTCAGCAACAAGACTGGCAGCGTAGTCTAGACGACAGCGAGCAGCGAAGTCGACGAGCTCAACAACGAGAGCAGACGCAGCAGCAGACTCAAAGGAAGGGTCTGTGACGACAGTAGCAAGTAGGCGCGTGACCGAAGGACTAGCAGCACGAAGAGAGTCATACTCCGGGTCAGCAAGAGAAGGAAGAGAGGAATCTGGAGGAGACGGCAACGGGACACGCAGAGGAGCAGTGGAAGGACGTAGAGCCATCTGGTGTGTGCCGGGGACCGTAGGAGGACGCGGACGTGTAGTACGACCACTAGTGCGAGCAGCACGAACAGGTGACGCGGGACGAGACGCAGGCTCACGACGCTCAGCAAGACCTCCAGTAGGACCAGTGTAGGGAGAAGGAGCAGGTAGAGGGGAGGCGGGCGGTAACTGTGACTGCGACTGGACAGGCGGTGGACACTCTAGGGGAGGAGCAAGTGAGTAGAGGGCGGGAGACCAAGAACCTGCTCCAGGAGCGGAACGAAGTACGGCCTCGGCCGCTCAGCGCCTCCAGAACCAGCAAGTACGGCACCAGTACCCCCAGCGGCAGCACCAGCGCAGGCGGAACCTCCAGCTCCAACAGCGCCAACTGCAGTACCCTCAGAAGCACCAGTGCCAGCAGCACCGCCAGCGCCAACACCCCCAGCAGCTCCCGCTCCAGCAGCACCAACTCCAGTAGGACCGGCAGCACCACCTGCCTCAGCAGCACCCCCAGACGCACCAGCACCAGTAGAAACACCAGCGCCTACACCCCCAGCAGCTCCAGCTCCAGCACCACCAACTTTTGTAGGACCGTCAGCACCAGCTGCCTCAGCAGCACCCCCAGACGCACCAGCACCAGTAGAAACACCAGCGCCAACACCCCCAGGCTCAGCAGCACGTCTCCAGCGGCGGGCGAACCACACGCGCAGCTCCTGTGGAGAGAGCGGCTCCCGCCTCGACGAAGTACCGCCGGCGGCCACACGAGCAGACCCAGCACCCCCAGGCTCCGCACCCCCAGACTCAGCACCCACAGGCTCAGCACCCCCAGGCTCAGTACCTCCAGTCTCAGCACCCCTAGATTCAGCACCCGCAGACCCGGCACCCGCAAACCCGGCACCCGCAAGCTCAACACCTCTAGCAGCACCAGAGTCTATAGCTACCTCGACAGGCTCAACTGCGTCTACTTGGGACACACCTAAAGGGGCAGGACCCTGAGGAGGGAGGGCGTCTACCTGAGTAGCACCTGGCGCAAGGAAGAGCGGCGGCGGGGGGAGGGGCGCAGTGCGGTAGGGGAAGAGACGGTAGTAAGGCACCGACTCGTCAAAGATGACGTCCTGGGAGGACAGAACAAGACGCGTGGTGGGGTGGTAAAACTGCCAGCCAGGCGCGTCAGGGGGGAAGCCAAGGAAGACGCAAGGAACAGCACGGGGGGACAGCTTGTCCGCAAACAAGTCGCGGACAAATGCCCGAGATCCCCAGACCCGAAACGCAGACGCATCGCCAACCTTCCATGTCCACCGCAAGGCGGGGGAGGTCTCTGGCAAGGAGACCCCGGGTTGAAGGTTGAGCTGATGCGCGGCGTACTGAACCGCAAACGGCCACAGAAAATGGGGGGCAACCGCATGCATCATGGACGTATGCGCGACGTCCATGACCATGCCAATGCGGCGCTCAGCAATCCCATTTTGCTGTGGAGAGGCCGGAAGCGTGAAGGTCTGGCGGATGCCCTGTGCATGACAGAAGGCTCCCAGACGGGCAGAGGAAAACTCCCCTCCTCTGTCCGAGTGCAGACGCAAAACAGGAAAGTCAGAGCCGAAACTCTCTCTGAGCTGGAGACGAGCTGCGCGGATCCAGTCGATCAACACCTCAGTGACGTCACCCTTGCTGCACAAGGGGAAGACTGTGGTGTAACGCTAGTAGTCGTCAACGACCAGCAGAAAGTACCGCTCTCTCCCCTGCCCATTGACGCGGGCTGGGCCCCACACGTCCATGTGTGGAGTCTGCAGCGGAGCCTCTGTCAGAGGAAACTCGGAGGAGTGAGGGGCGGCGCGCTGTCGCCCCTCAACGCAGGGGACGCAGGTAGGGCCAGGCCCCGGAGGAAGGGGAGGGAGAGACTGCAACCGGCCGACTGAGCGGCGTAAGAGTGGTGCGGTCTCGAAAGAAAGAGCGGGACGCCCCCGAGTCCAGGGTGAAGGTGTGGAAGGCCTGAGCCGGCGTAGTACCTGAGAGAGCAGACTCACCAGCACCTGGGGCGGCAGACGCACTAGCATCTGGGGCAGCAGACGCACTAGCACCTAGAGCAGCAGTCTCACCAGCACCTAGCGCAGCAGCCTCAATGCCCGGGTCAGGCGGTACACACAGGTAACAGGCACCCTCAACACTATCAGCAACAGCATACATGGCAGCAAGAATAGCATCAAAGTCAAGATCAAAGATTGCAACCCCGGCGTTAGCCAGATCTCCCCAGCAAGGGATCTCTGACGCCTCAGGGAACTGGCGACGCCACGCGTCCGTCAGGCGACCAAAGCAGCACTGGGTGGAGTGCGGTCCCCCGCACTGCTCACCAGTGCGGTCGCCGGTACGGAGAACGTAAGAGCAGGGACCAAAACCCCCACCGCGCTGGCGTGCAGTGTACCACTCACGAAGCTGCTGAGGGGAGAGGGTCACACCACTCCGCTGCTGCTGCTGGCGCTGACCACCACCGGCGCCACTCCTTGACGCAGAGTCGCGACTCGCTCCACCACCGCTGCCTCCGCCGCCTCCTCCACCTCCGCCTCCTCCACTGCCTCCGCCGCCTCCGCTCCCTCCGCCACCTCCACCGCCTCCGCCGCCTCCACTGCTGCCGCTGCCGCCGCCACCCCCAGCACCACTCCCACCACCACCCCCACTCCCTCCACCGCCTCCACCACCACCTCCACCGCCCCCTCCACCTCCTCTAGTGCCCTTGCCCCCCTTGCCCTTGTCGGTGCGTCGTCTCCCGCTCGGGGCAGACGCAGTGCCGACTGACTCGAAACCAACGAGGTCGGCCACAGCAGCAAAGGCAACAAAGGGCAAGAGGGGGGAGGGAGAACACCCCTCAAAGACGGGGGTACGAGGGTCACCACGAGAGGCTCCTACAGCGACTATGCTCTTCTCTATCGCTAGGAGGGCCTTCTCGAGGAGGTCAACGGTGAGAGTGGTGGGGCAAACAGAGAGGAAGTGGTCCCTGACTACACGGAGAGAGTCAGGGAGACGGGTGACTATATAGTAGAGGGTGATGTACATGGGGGGGGGGGTCTTGGCGCAGAACTCAGCAGGAAGCGCAGAGCGGTAGCGAGTGTCACTAGTGCAGAGGTGCGTAATGAGGTCAGCGACAGTGGGAAAGGCAGCAAGGTCAGGGAAGAGGTACGGTAGCATGAGGCGGCTCAGTGCAGCAATGGCAGGGGAAGAGTAGCGTGCAACTACAGCGTCGTACAAGGTCTGAGCACTCTTGTACTGGCTAAAGTGTGCACGCTCAGTGGTCGGTAAGTGGCGGCGCACAGCAAGGCGAGCAGCAGCGTCACGTGTGGTCCACTGTGAGCGAACAATGGCGTCAGCATCAGCAGCAGGGGCAGGGGAGGCACCAGAAGTGAGGTCAAACAGGGAGAGACCGTCTGCCCTATCACACTGCAGGAAAAGCAGCAGATCATCTACCCAGACCTCAAAGTCCACTGCCCGACCCTCACCGTCAAAGGTGAGAACGCTAGGGGAAGCCATAACAGCAGGAGGCAGGGCAGTGCAGTGGCAGAGACTGTGCTCTTATCAGGTAGGTGGAGCGATCGGGCTGCTCGGCGGCTCGGCTGTCAGGCGACTCGGCTGCAGAGCGGCTCGGCTGCTGGGCGACTCGGCTGCTGGGCGGCTCGGCTGCTGGTGCTGGGCGGCTCGGCTGTCGGGCGGCTCGGCTGCTGGGCGGCTCGGCTGTCGGGCGGCTCGGTTGCTGTGCGGCTCAGCTGCACGGTGCTGGGCGGCTCGGCTGTCGGCCGGCTCGGCTCCTGGGCGGTCGGGAGGTCGGGCGGCTCAGGTGGCCGGCGGTTTGGCTGCTCGGCGTTGCGGGCGCTTGGAGGCGGGGTCGCAGGTGGTGGCGAGGTCGCAGGTGGCGGCGAGCCGCAAGGGTGGGCGGGGCCGCGGTGGCGACGGGGCCAAAGTGGGGCCAAAGTGGGGCCGTAGAGGGGCCGACGGGGCCGAAGTGGGGCCGTAGCGGGGCCGCAGCGGGGCCTAAGCGGGGCCGTAGTGGGGCCGACGGGGCCGACTGGACCGACGAGGCCATAGCGGGGCCGTAGAGGGGCCGTAGCGGGGCCTAAGCGGGGCCGTAGCGGGGCCGACGGGGCCGTAGCGGGGCCGTAGTGGGGCCGACGGGGCCGTAGCGGGGCCGTAGCGGGGCCTAAGCTGGGCCATAGCGGGGCCGACGGGGCCTAAGCGGGGCCATAGTGGGGCCGACGGGGCTGACGGGGCCGTAGCGGGGCCGTAGCGGGGCCTAAGCGGGGCCGTAGCGGGGCCGACGGGGCCTAAGCAGGGCCATAGCAGGGCCATAGTGGCCTAAGCGAGGCCGTAGAGGGCGACTCGAGGGGCAGTAAGGGCGGCCAATAGGGGCCACTAAGGCGGCTCGAGGCGCTACTCGGGTTAGGAGCTAAGCGCGCTCCGGGCAGGGAAGGAAAAAAAAAAAAGTTCGTGGTGGGCCCTAGGCAGTATTCCCACTCGGGAACCTGCTCGATACCATGACTAGAAGTGAGAATGGAATGAATGCACTATGAAACAGTTGGGTACAAGTACTAACCCTAATTGGGTTGTACCTCTTATGGGCTACCCCACTACAGCCTACACAAATGTATAAGCTATAATGTTCTAACAATGAAGGCTACAAGGAGCAGAGGAGGAGTGTGAGTGGAGTTCGTGGTTGACGAACCACAGGGGAGATGGTTAGGGATGGTTCGACGAACCACGAAACCTACGGCGAAATGCGGAATGGCGGCGGAATGGAGCGTGTGGGAGATTCTAGAGTGATTTTGGTGGAAATGGGCCTACTGCGGACATTGGAAGCTAAGGCGTGAGAAGCGAGAGAGAAATCGAGAAGAAATGAGCTAGGAGGAAGAGAGGAGAAGTATCGAGAATGAGATCGACGGGGGAAAATGTGGTTCGAGACCAAGGCGTGCTCGAGAAATTTCCAGATTCGGGCTCAAGGAGTGTTCGGTAAATTCGGTTCCGTTGTGTGTGCGACTCGAGGTGAAACGAGGTGCGCGCGAGATTGCTTGGGAAACAAGTTACGTTACGAAGCACATTTTGTACCTTGGTTGACTATAAAACTGCTTGTACTCATTCTGGAAATACAACATTGACCAATTGGTGATTCTGAAAATTGTTGAAGTGTGTATTGACAACTTCAAGTAGAGCTGCAGATACTACTGGAATCGGGTGATCGTGGAGAACACGATAGGTGATAGCAAGTAGACTATTGCCGACTAAGGTGTTTACGATTCTAAGAGAAATGGGTGCCTATTTGGCTATTTATGGCGAGCAAAAAGCAGCATCACAAAACAATGCGACGAATCAACAAAGTATCCACAGCGTGTTTAGTTAGGGGGTCCTTTGCACATGCTTGGCTTTCGAGGTCATTGTAAGTACAGGTTTTTCTACTAAGGTCGTATCTGGAGCAAGTGTCAAGAGGGGCTAGTGTCATGACACTAACTTCTAAAAAGGATGGAGGACTAGACCTCCTGGTGGCAAGATGTGGTCCCTCGGGAAGTTGAACGGGCACGTCGCAACTCCCCCCCCCCCTTGCGACGACTTACAAATCGCCTGTCACCCAAACACCTGCAAATATCCCCAATCGCACAAACACATCCTTCGCGCGCCCGCTAGTCTGAAGCGACACGGAAACCATCAAAATCCCCGACGAGAGATGGAAACACCACCGCGGCCCCAACAGTGTCCAGCACTAGATCTGTGATCACAAGTGCACATGCACAAACGCGCGAACACAGATCTGCTCAACACAACTCCAAAGAGACATCGTCTAAATCAACACACAACTCCACCGTGACACCTCCCTCCAGGATGCCGCCACGCAAAAGTCGCGGTTAGAAAGGCAAGCAGAAGGTGGATGAGGAGAAGCCATGGGTTGATCCCCCATATGTCGTCTGGATGAAAGCGCAGGAAGCGAAAGGAGCGGCACAACTAACCATCGCGAAAGAGGCTGCCGACGGCCTTGGACCATCTGCTCAATACATCGCCCATGACGAGGACGGCGCCGCCGAGAATATCGACGCTGACACTGACGTCGACTGTGACAATCTCAAGGAGATAGTGTCCTCGAGTGAAAGCGAGGCAGATTCGGACAACAGTGATGCTAGCAAAAGCGACGGCGGGGAAGACGAGGTAACCGACGCGACAACTAGAGCTATGGCTGGGCGTAAGCGTCGTCGACGCAAGTCTCGCGCAAAGACGGACAACAACTACAATACAGCGTGGGCTCAAGAGGAGCTCATGGAATTGGCAGCGGCTCGCTGGAACACCCGAGATGACATCAAAGCCCTGAGAGGGAAGCAGGGCCCGCAATACTGGAAAAGACTGCGGAAACATATGAAGAAGGCTAACCAGGGATGGGATCGCGAGAGCGAGCCGATGAAGCAGGCCTCGAAGCGCATTATGGCAGACTACTGCAAGCTCGCGCATAAGGACATGGGATCTGGTAATGGTGGGGCTACGTGCAAAACGTGAAGCACGGAACGGCGGCCGTAAGGCCGCATGTGGTCGATGGCGGTGGTGCAGGTGTGACCGACGTGGATCCTAACGCATACATTTCTGGCCCAAACGACGTGGGTGCCGGTCTGTCAGGCACACCTGCTCCCCTGGCCGCTGGTTCAGGTAAGTCTAAGTGCATTACAAGCTTGCATGCGGCCATTGGTATATTTCATTTTTTCAATGAAGCAGTCGCTGACGTCTTCACCGACACTGTCGTACCCCGATTCCACTCGCCCATACGTTAAAGTGACCGACGCATCACACCAGGCCATATGAGCAGTGCTTCTTCAGGACTAGTGATGCGGGTTGCAGCCGATCGCATACGAGTCGCGTAAGCTTAGGGGAGCGGAGTTGAACTATCCGATCCACGACAAGGAGGCGCTCACAATCATCCATGCGTATTAGGGGTGGAGGTGCTACCTAGAGGGGGCTGATAGTGTTATACGCACGGACCACTGCTCGCTCCGTTTCCTCAAGACGCAGCCGCAGCTGAGTCGTCGCCAGGCTAGATGGATGGAGTTCATGGAGGGGAGCATTCACTACAAGATAGAGTACAAGCCAGGCATGCGCAACCCAGCAGATCCGCTTACTCGCCCTAGTTGCCAGCTCACTAGTCTCACAGTCACTTCCGGCCATCCTCTTCTCACAGCTCTCTTCGAGCACGGTTATACAGTAGATCCTGACTTCATACCACAGCCGCCCATAGGAGAAGAGGTGCAGGGTAGTGTCTACATACGGAAGGGTATAGTACGGATTTGGGTTCCAGCCTACCGCCCTCTTCGACAACTCCTTCTTTCTAAGGCACACGACGTAGTTAGTGCAGGTTACTTCGGAGCAGATAAGACGGCTAAGACGCTTAGTCGCATGTACTACTGGCCAGGGCTTGCAGCAGACGTAGAGGATTACATTCGCTCGTGCAACACGTGTCAGCGTACGAAGTCCTCGCGACTGCGCAAAGCAGGACTTTTGCAGCCGATTCCACCGCCCGACCGCCCTTGGCAGGTAGTTGCCATGGATTTCATCATGGCTTTACCGCGCACAGTTAGGGGTCACAACGCCATCTTCGTGGTAGTGGATAAGTTTTCTTGAGCAACGCACTTCATCCCAACGCACGGCCAGGTCACAGCATAGGAAGCCGCGACACTGTTCGTAGATAGCGTAGTCCGACTGCACGGGGTTCCAGATTCCATCATCTCAGACCGCGACCCTCGATTCACCTCGAAGTTTTGGAAGCATCTTTTTGCACTGTTTGGGATTCTCATAGCCATGTCGTCTGCGTACCATCTAGAGACAGATGGACACACTGAGCGCGTGAACAAGACCTTGGAGCAGATTCTTTGCACCATCACGATGCACGACGCAGCAGCATGGGACAAGAAGCTGAGCATGGCAGATCTTGCATACAACAACACGCACCACTCCGCTACAGGCATGTCACCGTTCTTCGCACTGTACGGCCAGCACCCCAATGTCCCCACTCGTGTCGATCTCACAACCACAGTCCCTCGTGCGGACAACTTCCACCAGCATCTTATTACAAGAGTAAGCACAGTGGGGAGCCATAGCTAGGGTTTAGCTAGCTAGGCAAGAGAGAAATGAACAAAGGAGAGTGTTTCACTAGCAGCAGTTGGGATACATATAGCAAACCCTAACAGGGTTGTACTCGCTATAGAGCACCCCACTACAGGCTAGATAATAACATTCTGACACACCCCCATAGCCAAAGTGGGGTGTAATCAGCAGGGCACGCAGTCATAGAGCAGGTTCACAAATGCAAGCAAAGCTAGAGGCTATCACAGAGGGCATGTGAGGAGGAGGAGGGACTGTGAGAGGAGAGGAGATGGGAGGCGACGGCGGAAGCTGCAGACACACAGGAGCTGCTGGCTCAGTGGCTACCGAAGCAATGGCCCGGACTATAGGAGTAACTGGCTCCGCGGAGATTGTAGCCTCCTGACTGGAGCAACTGACCTAGAGGTGACTGGCGACTACCGGAGATTGTAGCCTCCGGACTACTGGTGCTGCTGGCGACACGACTGCGACCTCCGCTCAACCTCCGCCAACTGCCCCACGCCCCTAGCACACACCCCCTGCTGCACCCCTAGCTCCACTCCAACGTCACCCCCCTAGCACCACTCCTTCGGCTCCCACATACCCACCCCCCCCTGAGCGGTAGCTACAGCAGCGGGAGACGGAGGAGGAGGAGGAGCAGGGAACGGCGCACAGAAACTGCACCCCCATACCCCCCACCCCCAAACCCTAATTCAGGAGAACGGGCAGCAGCAAGGGTGGGGCGCCGTCAGAAGCACGGGGGACATCGGGCAGCTCAGGGGCAGAGAGGAACGGGCCGCCCACGGGCCTGGCACAGCCAGACGAACCGCGCGCAGGTGGCCCGGGCCACGCGCGGGCCTGGCGCAGCCCGTACGGACCGCGCGCGGGCCTGGCGCAGCCCGTACGGGCCGCGCTCGGGGCTAGCGCAGCCCGCGCTGGCTGGGACAGGCGACCGGGGACGACGGGCTGGTCCCCGTCGCC